CATGAGAACAGTTCATTAAATTCATTTAATTGCTATTTCTGAAGCTGGGAAAATGCAAATAAGCCCAGGGCATTTTGAATATACAGATATTGTTTTGCAGCTTGTGGGTGTTTATTAGGTACTTACTCAAATAGCACAGAATGAGTTGAGTGCATGCTGAGCCCTTTTTCTTTCAGTGCAAACAGGAAAAAGAAGAAATTTGTGCCATCTTGCCAACGTATTCCTACTGCAAGCAAATCACTCCTCAGGAGTTTGAAGAACAAAAGGTCTCCACCTCGCAGGCTGCAATGGCAGAGCTCCTGGAGAACATCATCAAGGATAAAAACCTCTCCGTGAAGGACAAAAAGAAAAAGTTAAAACAGGTGAGTTTATTGCATCTGCTCCTGCAGTGCCTTTGTGAGGGAAGGGCTCAGGCACCAGAGCCTGGGACAGGACAGGAGCTGAGAAGTGTTTGTGCTTAAGAGCTCCTGAGTGCTTCATGTGCTCAGCCTGGGATTTTAAAGATGGTTTTTAATGCTGCATCCTCTGGAGCCAGGCTGGGAGAGCTGGGGGTGCTCACCTGGAGAGGAGAAGCTCCAGGGAGAGCTCAGAGCCCCTTGCAGGGCCTGAAGGGGCTCCAGGAGAGCTGGAGAGGGACTGGGGACAAGGCCTGCAGGGACAGGACACAGGGAATGGCTGCCAGTGCCAGAGGGCAGGGCTGGATGGGATCTGGGGCAGGAATTGTTCCCTGGCAGGGTGGGCAGGCCCTGGGATAGAATTCCCAGAGCAGCTGGGGCTGTCCCTGGATCCCTGGCAGTGCCCAAGGCCAGGCTGGATGGGTTTGGAGCAGCCTGGGACAGTGGCAGCTGTCCCTGCCATGGCTGGGCTGGGATGAGATGGGATTTTAGGTCTCTTCCAAATGACTCCATAATAATCCAGCCTTTGACTGGCAGCAGTGGTGTTCAAACAATGAAAACATTGTTTTCAATGAAACCAGTATCAACTGACTCTGCTGGAGCTCCTGCTGTCCATTCAGTGATTCCTGATGGAATTGCAGCCTGGATTCCTGTGCTGAACTGCCCATCCAAGTCACCATTAACATCCCAGAGGTGGGGTTAAATTCAATAGGTATTAAAAGCTAAATTTTTTTTGCTTTAAGAGACCAAATTCTCTCTTGAGGATCCTGAAACATTCTTTTGGTGGCCTTGGCTTTGTGTTTTGTAACATTTACAGTGCTCAAGATTATCTTACACTTCCCTGTCCTACCAACAACTTGTCTCATAGTAAAGCTAAAACACAGCAGTTGTGGCAGGATTTAATCCTGGAGGGTTTTTCTTTCCTTTGGCAAGTCTTTCTGCCCAATGGAATAGTTTTGTACTTGTCCTGGAATCTCCTAAGCAAGTCTTGTGACTCCCATTTGAACAAGCAGCTTTTCGGGGCAGCCACACTTGGCTTTGGTGCCCCTCCTGCAGCTCTGACTTCCACGGCTGGTGTGGAAACTTTCACTCTAAAAGTGAGTCTGGTTTGGTTCCAGACCATCAAAACTTCTGAATTTAGAGAAGAATGAATGGTTAATTATAATTGATTAAGGCTAGGAGTAAGAAATGATTCACAGCAGCAGGGGAGAAAGGAGAGGAAGGAAATAGAGGCCCAAAAATGATCCCAGGACCCAGAGGTGCCTCAGCAGTGCCAGCAGAGGGATGGGCACTGCCCTGGGCCTGCTGGGCACATCCTCCTTGATGAGGAATGTTGGGAATTCTTGGGAAAAGCCAAATTCCCAACACTTTGTACAGGGTGAGGTCCCAGTTGTGTCAGCACCAGAAGTGACACTGGTTTGAATCCATCAGTGGAAAGGTTTGGCTCATGTTCAGGTGTATTTACAGCTTCTCATCCCTTCCTGAGGCCTTGCATGGGAAACAGGTAAAATGTCCAAACCTGCTCTGATTCCAGGTCTTTTCATTTTCATGGAATCAGTGGTAAGCTTTCCTGGGAGGAGAACCCTTCCAAAAGAGGCTGAATCCTGGCTCCCTGTTGGGTAAATCAGGGAATTGCTGGGAAGGCAGCTCTGGAGGCACAGCAGGTGTGGAGTGGAGCTGGAATTTTCTGTGGGATCTGGGATTTTGTTGTCATTGGTGCCCGTGTGTGCTGCAGTTCCAGAAGGAATATCCCCAGATCTACGGGAGCAGGTTCCCAGCGACGGAGGCGGAAGCTCTGCTCCTGGAGAACAAACCCACCATCAAACAGCCCTTGCTGAGCCTCAGGAAAGCCAAATTTCGCAGCCTCAGGTACTGATCTCACCACTCCTGAGCAGTTTCTCCCTGCTGGAAGTCTGAGAGGGAATCACCAAAGGAATTGCAGGTGGAGCTTGGTGGTGGCTGTGCTGCAGAAGGAGGAAATGTTTACATGGACACTGTGCTGGAAGGTGCCAAAATACCTTTTTTTATTGTGCAGATACTTTGGAATAACTTCTAAAAGAAAAAAAAAAATATTTATCTGTTTACAAATTATTACAATATATTGGAGTAGGAAAATGTGAAAATACACATAAAGCTGTTGTTAACCAAAAATTTATATATGGTTTTTTATGGGAAACTAATGACCTGCCTCCTGTTTTAATCTTTAAATGTCTGGTTGGGAATTTGTGCCATTATTGTAGCTCGTGTGTATGTGTGTGTGTGTTGTGACTAAGTGCCTTTTCTATTCTCAAAATGTTTGTCATTAAACAAAGGAGCTTCTATGAGTTCAGGACTGGAGAGCCAGTTCACCATAAATAAATGATTATCTCACTCCATAAATACTTCTGTTCATATCATCTGTAAAACCCTCATCAGCTTTTTGATATTTATTTATATTAAAAGACTTGAAGCGTATTTCTGATGTTTTCATGGTAAATTCATTTTGGATCTGTTGGTGTGATTCTCGGAATAGGAGTGATGGATGATCCATGAAGTGAGAACAGAATACACTAATTTTCCCTATTTTTTCCAGAGTTATTAATTATGATAAGACAAAGGTTCCCCCCACAGGAGTTTAAATCTACAGGAATATTTTTGGGAAAGTATAATTAATAATAATTAATCCACTGCATGGCTCTGAGATCCCAAACTGGTTTGGGCTGGGAGGAACCTTAAATCCCATTTTTCTCCTTGTTTTTAAAGAGGTTTTGTAAATGAGAAACCCAAATTAGCCTCATTTTAGCCAATATTAATGATGCCTTAATGTCCTCTATGTAACTTTGTGCTTTCAGGGCAGGGGGCAGCTGTAACCAACCTCCTCCAGCACTCAGCACCTGCCTGAACTCGCTCCCAGTGCTTCCCACCCCATTCCACGTTGCATAAATGGTTTGTTTATGTAGTGTTCCAGTTAAGTAACTTATTAGGTGAGAAGCTCACATTTCCCAGGATTTGGCTTTCAAAGGCCTGCCCTCATTATTCCCAGTTCTTGATCCAGGTTATTTAATGTTCCCTTCTAAGGTTTTGACAGAACTTAACCAAAAATGGGAATAAATAGAGAAATTATAATGATGGTTCTTCAACAGAAAGGGTTAATGGGAGGCCTCAAGCAAGAGCTCAGTGCAGTTTCCTGGTTTTTCTGTGAGGAACCTTCAATGAACCCTTGTCCAAGTGCAAACACTGCCTTGAAAGAGGGAGCAAGCAAACAAAAGCAGGGAAAGAAGCCAGTCCTCACGTGCTGGCTGTGGCAGCAAATGGATCAGGGCGTGTTCAATGTCTCTTTCTGTCCCTTCAGCCCAGTTTGGATCCCTGTTTGGAGCTGTTTCCATCCGTGTGGGAGCAGCACCTGGATGGACGTGGTGGCAAAACACCTTCAGCCTCTGCCTGTGAGGGGACAGCAGGAAACTCAGATCTTGTTAAGCTTTGAAATTACTTTTCCAGCACTCTTGGTTTCATAAGTGTTGACTCTTACCAGGGGTGGTTCCTGATGCTGGGTCTGGATGAGACCGAGGGGACACCTCAAGGGGCTGCAGCTCCTCCTGAGGGACCTCCTCTGCTCCCCGTGACAGGGACAGCACCCAGGGAACGGCTGGAGCTGGGCCAGGGAGGTTTGGGTTGGATTTTGGGAAAGGTTCTTCCCCCAGAGGGTGCTGGCACTGCCCAGATCCCCTGGGAACGGCCCCGAGGCTCCAGAGCGGCTCCAGGAACGTTTGGACAGCGCTGCCAGGGATGCCCAGGGTGGGAATGTTGGGTGCCTGTGCAGGGCAGGAGTTGGATCCATGATCCCTGTGGGTCCTTCCAACTCAGGAGATTCCTCAATGTTGGCCACTGGCATTTTCTTCCCTCTTGGCATCTCCAGTGTCACATCAGTCCTGGGTGAGGCTCTGGAGGAGCCAGCACGGGCCCTGCAGAGCCGAGTGCTGCTGCCAGCCCCCGGCACGGCTCCAGTGCGCTCCCCTTCACTCCTCCCTGGGTTTTTTTCCTTTGTAATCACTTCTGCTTGGGAAGAATTTAGGTCTCAGAAAAACAGTGAAAGCCCCTTTTTGTGTGAACAGCAGGACAAAAGCTCCCAAAGCCCGGGGAGGATTTTGGTGCTGAAAGCCGGCTCTGTTCCCGGGGTGCTCTCATTGGTGGGGGCTGTTTTGGGACGGGGCTGCCCTGGGCAGGGCTCAGCACCCCATAAATACCCAGCACAGCTCTGGCTCCGTGCTTGGCTCTGGAGGCTCAGGGAGGATGTACAGCCAGTGAGTATTCCTGAGCTCCCCTCTGTGGGAGCACATCCCAGATGGAGCATGGCTGGGGGGCAGCAGGGTTTGGACAGGAGGAGAAGCGGGGAGGTCTCTGTGAGTCCGTGCTGGCACATCCCATGCCAAGGTGTGGTTCTGGTCTGGGGGAACAGGATCACCTCCAGCTTCCAGAGGATTGACCAGAACTTGGAGTGGAATCCTGGAATGATTTGGGTTGGAAGGATCCAGTGCCACCGCCTTCCATGGGCAGGGACACCTTCCACTGTCCCAGGCTGCTCCAAGCCCTGTCCAACCTGGCCTTGGACACTTCCAGGAATCCAGGGGCAGCCACAGCTGCTTTGGGCCGAGTTCACCAGCCTGTGCCTGGTGTGTCTTCATGGGCTTTGCAGCAGATAAAATTGGAACACAACAAATAATTTTTTTCTTTAAAAAAAAGAAAAGTAAAATAAAAAAGTCTTTTCCAAGAGCTGGCAGGTACAAGCTGGATTTTACTTTCTGATGATTTGGGTATCCTGGGTTTGTTGGGCTGCAGTATGGGCTGTCCCTCGGTGTCCCTGTCCCTCCTGGTGCTCAGGACAGTTCTCAGTAGCTGTTTGGAGCCTCAGAGCCTTTTCCCTTGGAAAGGTGCTTCTCCTTCCTCCCTCAAGTTCTTTGCAAGTCATCATGGATCGTTCCGTCCAGAGAGATCCATCCCTCCCTGGGAGGGGGCTCTGGGCTCACCCAGCTGTGCCCCTTCCAGGGTGGAGCACCCCGCTGGAGGCTACAAGAAGCTCTTTGAGACAGTGGAGGAGTTGTCCTCTCCAGTGACTGCCCACGTCACAGGTTGGTCTGGGGCCTCACCTCCTCCTGCTCTCCTTTGCTCCCGCAGCTCAGGGGCCTCCAGGGCTCAGAGGCTTTCAAGACTCGATGTGACAGCTCACAGAGCTGCTGATTTGGGGTAGAGAAAGGCCAGATTGGGTGGGGAACTCTTTAGACATCTCAATACCGAATGTCTTGGTGTGGAGATGAAGAAATCAGAGCTGAAAGAGCTCATGTGTGTTTAAACACTTAAGTTTAATTAGAAAATGAGTCAAAGTTTTGATTTTCTCGCTGCCACAAAAAAAATTCCTTGGTCTGATTTCCGTGTCCATCCCTGCTCTGCCTCTCCCACAGGCAGGATCCCCACCTGGCTGCGAGGGAGCCTCCTGAGATGTGGTCCTGGCTTGTTCGAGGTGGGCTCCGAGCCCTTCTACCACCTCTTCGATGGCCAGGCTCTGCTCCACAAGTTTGACTTCAAGGAGGGGCACGTCACCTACCACCGAAGGTACGTGCCAGTTTTCCAAGAGAAAGGAATAAATAAGGAAGCATCTGCTTGTCTGAAATGCCAGGAAGGGGCTGTGCCTGTGAGAAACACCGGTTGTTGTGAGTCCATGTGGTCACTGGAAGAGCTCTAGCAGCGATATCACTAAACCCAGCTCCAGGTGCAATGTGAGGTTGTGGAGAGCTCCCAGAGCTGTCAGGAGGTTCACCAAAGGAATATTTGTATTTATTGCACAGCCTGTAACAGACTGCCTCCTCCTGGCCCTCCCAGGTTTGTCCGGACCGACGCCTACGTGCGAGCCATGACGGAGAAGAGGATTGTGATAACGGAGTTTGGCACCTACGCCTACCCAGACCCCTGCAAGAACATCTTCTCCAGGTACCTCGGGCTGGTGCAGACATTGCTGGGATGTCCCATGGAGTTTCAGCTTCCCAGGAGCCCCTGACTGCCTGTTGGTTTTCTCTGCTCAGGTTTTTCTCCTACTTCAAAGGTGTGGAGGTGACGGATAACGCCCTGGTGAATGTTTACCCTGTGGGTGAGGATTACTATGCCTGCACTGAGACCAATTTCATCACCAGGATTAACCCAGACACCCTGGAGACCATCAAGCAGGTGGGTCTTTGTCCTGGGCCAGCAGAGGTGTGGAGGAGTAAAACTAAAACACAAATCATGGAGACACAGAATGGGTTGGGATGGCAGGGATCTTAAAAGCCACCTCTGTCATAGCAGGGACACCTTCCACTGTCCCAGGCTGCTCCAGCCTGGCCTTGGGCACTACCAGGGATCCAGGGGCAGCCACAGCTGCTCTGGGAATTCTATCCCAGGGCCTCACACCTCTCACAGATATTCTTCCCAATATTCCATCTAACTGCCTTCCTGTCCCTCCATCCCTTGTCCCCAGTCCCTCCCCAGCTCTCCTGGAGCCCCTCTGGGCACTGTCCCTTCTCCAGGCTGAACACCCCCAGCTCTCCCATGGCACAGGAGCTCCAGCCCCTGGAGCATTGTCAGGTTTGGGTTGGGGTTTGCAAATCAGAGCTCAACTGGAGACTTTAAGAAGAACTTGTTGCATTGACTCACAGCAGCTTGCAGAGCCTCCCACCCCTGTCAGGGAAGCTCCTGACTCTGTCCCTGCTGCTCTCCAGGTGGATCTCTGTAAATATGTGTCGGTCAATGGGGCAACGGCTCATCCCCACATCGAGAACGACGGCACCGTTTACAACATCGGGAATTGCTTTGGGAAAAACTTTGCCCTGGCCTACAACATCATTCGGATTCCTCCTCTGCAGGCAGGTCAGTCAATCCCACCTCTCTTTCCTCTTCAGCCAGCTAGGAAACTTTCCCCTTATGATTCATTTCTTTATCCTTTAAATAAACTTCTCATCGAGTTAGACTTTTTTTCAAGCTCCTTTAGTTTTGTTTTTTTTTTAGTGGTACCTAAACCACTTCCAGGTGGGTTCTAAATGATGGATTCTGTGTTAAAGGCAGAAATTTGCTGGGTAGATGCTGTAAGTACAGACCAAGTGTGGGTGAGACCTCCATAACCTCTCACCTGTCCCATTCCAGACAAGGAAGACCCCATGAACAAGTCGGAGGTGGTGGTGCAGTTCCCCTGCAGTGACAGGTTTAAGCCCTCCTATGTCCACAGGTAACATTCCATGGGGTCAGCTGGAACCAGGGACTGGTTCCCACAAGTAATCAGCAATGAAAATCAGGTGATTAACCAAAATCAGGGTCATTCTGAGTGATGACTGACGTGTTTAAGATGAGCAGCCCCATGTTTGTTGCCCAAACTGACCCCAGTGAGCCTGATGTGCTCCCCTGCATTTCCCAACAGCTTTGGGCTGACCCCAAACTACATCGTGTTTGTGGAAACACCAGTGAAAATCAACCTCCTCAAGTTCCTCTCCTCCTGGAGCCTTTGGGGAGCCAACTACATGGACTGCTTCGAGTCCAACGAGACCATGGGGGTAAGCATGGGGCCATCCCAAACTGGGCTGGACTGGGCAGCCAGACCTGGGCTGGGAGGGCCATTGGCTTTACCTTCATTTCCCTGAGCCTGAGCCTAGCTGCTGTGTGGTTTCCAGGTGTGGCTTCACGTGGCAGAGAAGAAGAAAGGCAGGCTCCTCAACCTCAAGTACCGCACCTCAGCCTTCAACCTCTTCCATCACATCAACACCTACGAGGACAACGGGTTCCTGATCGTGGACCTGTGCACCTGGAAGGGGTGAGGCCGAGGCTCCCTGGGCATCACAACTTCCCCTTGCACCACACAGGCCACTCCCTGCCCTGGCACATCCCTGCTGGGGCCTCTGGCACCTCCACCATCCCATTTAACATTTAACACGTGGTGACATGTAGACTATACAGCACTGAGCTCTCCAGAGGTGCAGGGAGCCTGCTTGACACTCATTTTCCACGACAAAGTATTTTTATCTTTTATTTACTTTTATCTTTAAGAAATGTTAGTGACTGCTGAAGGGTTGATGCTGTTCTGGCTCCTGGGGCTGCAATGAGCAGGGTGTGCATGAGGCTTAAACACTGCTCTTCATGTAAACACAGAAATGTGGCACTGAAATGATGAAGCTCAACCCTGTGTTGGCTGCACAGCCAGGACACCCTGAGCTGAGCTGATCCTGGCATAGAACCATAGAATTCCAGACTGCTTTGGGTTGGAAGGGACCATAAAACACTTTCCACTATCCCAGGCTGCTCCAAGCCCCTTCCCTTGCTGTTGAACACCAGCAGTTGCTGGGTTTTCCTGATGGGCTGTGGTGCACACACAGCTCAGCTCTGCTGGGGAGCTGGACTGGAGCTTCTGTCACTTCCACCCCTGGAGGTGTCCATGGCCAGGTTGGACAGAGCTTGGAGCAGCCTGGGACAGTGGAAGATGTCAGGAGCTGGAATGAGATAAACATTAAAGCCCCTCCCAACCCAAACCATTCGAAACTTCTATGAATTTTAGGCAAAAAACACCTCCACTTCCCCCACACTAGCAAAGCCCAGCTGTGTTTCTCTCTGTGGTGCTGTTTGGTGCAGGTTTGAATTTGTTTACAACTACCTGTACCTGGCCAACCTCCGGGCCAACTGGGACGAGGTGAAGCGGCAGGCGGAGAAGGCACCGCAGCCTGAGGCCCGCAGATACGTCCTGCCCCTGAGCATCGACAAGGTACTGGAGTCTGCTCCTCTCCCTGCCTGGCCTCCTGCCCCCTGTGCTTCAAATTCAACCTTTTCATTAAGAGGGCAAACCTGAAGTTTGGGTCTTCAGAGAAACTTTGTACTTTCTTTAGCTGATCAATGTTTTTCTAGTTTATTTGTATGGTTTGCCAAGAGAGGTTGTGTGGCTGCCCCATCCCTGCAAGTGTCCAAGGTTGGGTTGGATGGAGCTCGGAGCAGCTGGTCTAGTGGAAGGTGTCCCTGCCCATGCTGAGGAAAATGAGATGAGCTCTAAGGTCCCTTCCAACCCAAACTCTTTGATGAGTCCAGATGTTACCGTTCATGCAGTTAATGCTGGATCTGCTCGTAGCACGGAGGGAGCAGCCACAGCCCAAGCATGTGTGGTTAAATCCTCCAGCCCTCCATGTGAGGTCCCTGGAGCTGCCAGCCTGGCACAGACAGAGCTCTCTGGCTTCCTTCCCATGACCCTGCTCGTGGTGGCTGGCGGGTGGGCCGAGGGCTGCGGGGGATGCCGGTCAGCCGAGCCCCTCACGGAGCTCACTGGGCTGTGGATCAAGTGAGAAGTGCAAGCCCACGTGGCAGTGCTTACTGAAACCTCTGAATGCCTTCAGGAGGGAGGGAAGTTGTGTTTAGGCTGAGGAACAGGACAATTCTTGCAGCACTGCCAAACACACGGCATCGGTTGCCTCCTCTGCCACGCATCTCTGCCCTCCCTGTCCAGTGCTGTTTGCTACAGTTCTGTGCGAATAAACTAAACCTTTTCTCCAGTCTCTTGGGTATTTATTTCTCTTTGTCACAGGCTGACACAGGGAAGAACCTGGTGACCCTGCCCTACACGACAGCCACAGCGACGCTGCGCAGTGACGAGACCATCTGGCTGGAGCCAGAGGTGATTTTCTCGGGGCCACGTCACGGTACAACGACACCCCAGCTCCCCCAGGCCAAGTGCTGCCTGCACACCGTGTCCCACAGAGCCTCAGCATTCATTTATTCCTGTTTCCTTGTAGCCTTTGAATTCCCCCAGATCAACTACAGGAAGTACGGTGGGAAGCCCTACACGTACACCTACGGGCTGGGGCTGAACCACTTTGTCCCAGACAGGGTAAGCACCAGCCAGCAGGGGATGGCTTCCATTTGGGGACACCAAGGATTATTCCTGAGCTCTGTGGTTTTGTGTTGTCCCCACCTTTAGCTCTGCAAGCTGAACGTTAAAACCAAGGAGACCTGGGTGTGGCAGGAGCCGGATGCGTACCCGTCGGAGCCGATCTTTGTCTCCCACCCGGATGCGCTGGAGGAAGATGATGGTAATGCTGGGGGAGCTGGTGGCATTGGGATTGGGAAGGGCTGTGCCAGGCTGGCTGCAGGGCTGTGCCACAGCTGGGCAGGGCAGAGCCTGCAGGCAGCTCCCAGAGGAGATGGGACAGGTGCTCACACTGGTGAGAAATTTCTGAGGAAACACGGGAAAACTGAAACTCGAATAATGAAATTTTGGGGTTGGGAGGAACCTTAAAACTCATCCCATCCATCCATCCAAGGCATGGATACCTCCCACTGTCCCAGGTTGCTCCAAGCCTTGAACCTGGCCGTGGACACTTCCAGGGCTGGGGCAGCCACAGCTTCCCTGGGCAGCCTGTGCAGTGTCCCTGCCCGTGTCCCTCAGCATCGGTGACACTCCCGGGTTTCTGGTGTCCCGAGTGCCAGGGCTGCTCTCACCTTGCCCAGCCGGGGTCAGACACAGCCCACACCCACCCGGGCCACACCCACGGTGTTCTCACCTTGCAGGGGTGGTGCTGAGCATCGTGATCAGCCCGGGGGCAGGGCCCAAGCCCGCCTTCCTCCTCATCCTCAACGCCAAAGACATGAGCGAGGTGGCCAGGGCCGAGGTGGAGGTGAACATTCCCGTGACATTCCACGGGCTCTTCAAGAGGGCGTGAGCACACACAGCAACACCCGGGCTTCCTCCAGCTCCCAAAAGGTGCAGCCTCCGTTTACAGGTGACCCAAACTCCCTCCACAGCCCTTTGCCTTTGTGGGGCTGCTTAACTCAGATCAAGCAGTTCAGTCTTGTCAATGATTCTTCAAAATGGTTAATCAGGTATTTTTTAAACGCACCCTTTGGTATCATTTCCAGTTAAAACACAAGTTTGGGGCGTTGGAGAGGTTTTGTTTATGCGAAATTAAACTTTGTAGCTGCAGCAGAGTGAAAGAAGCTGAAAGAGCAGAGTAACCTCAACACCTTTACAAGTGGTAACATTGTGTACAACAGGCTGTGCTCTGTTACATGGTTGAGAATTTTTAGCCTATACTGAAGGATTTTGGGTTTAAACACCATCCTGGTCATTGCTGCAGTCTCCTCAGAGCAATGCCAGTGCACAGCTGCTTTGGGAATCCCAAGAGGGTGGCAGGTAGAGTTTTGTTCTTCAGCCAGGCTGCAAACTGCACACCTTCCCTTGTGTGTTTGCTCTTTTCCCTTTCTTTTGTCCAAGTGCAGTTCCTTGATTTCTGGATTTCATGTTAAAACATGGACATGAAAAAAATCAAGCGATTTTGGGCTGACTTTGCTTCCTTAGAGTGCTACAGGTGTTCAGCTTAATCCTTCCTTCTCCCAAAATAAACTTGCAGCTGATGTTAAAAGAGGCTATTGTTGAAAATAAAAACTTTCTGCCAGCAGATTTAAAATCTGTGATTCTTGTCTTCAATTGTTGAACATTTTTATTAATGGTATCGAAGAATTAGGAAATCCTTATACTCAGAGTTCTGGTAGAGGGTTCTGGTTTGAGGGGGCTGAAGTTACATCCTGATGATGGGATGGGGATGGGGAGACACAGCCTGGGACTTCTTCTGTTCCATGATCTCCAAGCACTGGGCAATCACCTAATTAAAAAAAAATATAAACAATGAAAACAAAATCAAACAAAAAAACCCAGTAAAACTCATTAGTTCTGCACATATTTGTTTGTTCCTTCCTTTTGTGGAACACTGAACACGGTAAAATGAACAGTTCTCACTTATTTTCATGTGTAGCACATAAAATGGGATTTTCAGGGCTCTAGGACTAAAAAAACTTCTAAAAAAACTCTCTCATTATCAAAGTTCTCATAAACTCCATGAAAATATTTACCATCCACAGAGTTCCATAAATATGTACCATATTTAGAAGGGTTGTGTTGTGATTTAACCCCAGCTGAAACCAGGACAGATTGAGATCTTGGAGTAAACAAACTTCAGAAGTGCAGAGAAGATTTTTTTTTATTGCTAATAAACAGTCTAACAAGGAAAAATAAAAGAACAAAGGCAACAGCTTTCAGAAAGAATCTAATGGAGGGAGGGAGGGATGTCTGCCAATTTCAAATCAATAAAAAGACAGGGCAGCATCCCAAATGTACACAGCAAATTTAAAGCAGGAGGAGAAAATTACAAAAAGCAGCATCTCAGGATAAAAGAATGGAAACAAAAGGAATTCTGAGGAGCTTGAACTTCAAAGAGTGAAGATGGGGGTGATCATATGGAAAAAAGGGATTCAGATCAAGATTCAAATTATGGTAAAGTCAAAGGAGAGGCTCAGTGACGAAATGCTGTGGTCAGGTAACCAGAATTCAAGAGAAACATTTTTGATAAACTAATGGGGAAGAGACAGGATGAGAATTATAGAGAGAAATTACATGGAGTGAGAAGTGGGAGCCCCAGGACTGGAATCAGCACTTTGCCAGTCCTGAGTGAGCCAAGTTCACCTGTTGTGAGATTGGATAATAAAATGGCCTAAAAGGAAAACCCACCTTCCTGGAGTCCTGAGGTAGAATGATCCCATCATCCCAGAGCCTGGAAGAGGAGTAAAAGGCACTGCTTTCTTCCTCCAGCCTGGAGAGGGCAGAGAATTGAACAGGCTTAAAAGCACAATAAAAACAGCAGAGCAGTGAGAAAAAAATTACAAATGAAACAGGCAAATCCATCAATCTGAAGAGAATGGGCAACACTGCTGTTAAAATTAATCAGAAACCAGGAAATAACAGAGCTGACCATTCTGCACTAATGGGAAAACCCTAACAGAAAGACATAGAACTACATGGAAATTTAAAATATTTTTTCAGTAGATCCATGTTTGTTTCATTAGTGGGGATGTGTTGCTGAACAAAAGTGGGTAATTTAACAATGAAATCCCTGTCAGGTTTACATTGAATGTCCTTACTTTGCCTTCAGCTGTTTTAGCTCCAGCTCCTCTCCTGCCCAGTCCCCAGCTGGTGGAACTGTGGGGAGATGTCGAGGATCCACAAGAGCAACTCTTGCATTGGGCCACAGGAACAGGAAGTTTGGACTGAATGATCTTCCACACTACAAATTAAAAACCAAAGAACAGGACAAACTCCCTGAGATGAATCATAAGGAGGTGTCTGTGGGATGAAACACCCAAGGCAATGCAGAATGGAACACAGGGGGATTTCTATGAGGACAGACACCCTGTGCTAGGGACCACCACCTCCCCACTGCCTTCAACATTTCTATTTTAATATTTCATTTTGAATTCCAAGCACTTCCACATTTGATTCTTCCAGCTTTACTTTCCAGCAATCACATGAGTTGTTGCATTTCTTACTTAAACATTAGCTCAGAGCTCCCCAGCTGTGTTTTAGAAATGCAGTGACACCTGAGCAGTGTGACACGTGTGTCCCCAAGCCCGGGGCTGCTGCCACCCGTACCATGACGTAGCTGTCGCTCCCGAAACAGCCTCCAATGACAATGGTTATTTTGGGAACAGCAGCACAGGCAACTGCTGCCATCATGGAGGCCTGGGCCTTCAGCCTGTTGGAATGAGCCTCTGCCTGCAATAAAAATAGATAGTTTAGATCCCTTAAGATTTTATTCTAGATTCTCTCCACTCCCAATAACCCCCTATTTCTAAATAATTTATTCATTTATTTATTTAATTCTGCAGAAACAGATCTGGGATCTGATGGAGGTTTAACTTTCCTTAGCCCAGGACAAATCCTACTGGGCTTTAATGCCTTCACTTTAAAAAGAGAAACAGCCAATTTTCAGGAGTGCAGAGTTAGCAGAGGAATCAACAAGTTGTATTTCAATATCAAAAGCACTGCAAATCCCAAACTTTCCAGCCTGCCTTGCTAACTGAACAGTATCATTTTACATTAGCACCCAGACCTGCCTAAATTCAAGTGAGAATGTTCTTAAATCCTTCCATTAGCAAAGTCATTACAAAGCTTTGTCAAGACTGGTTAAAAAAGTAGTTTTCCTAACAGTTAATAATTCTGAAAATGTAACTTTAGGCACAACAGGAACTAAAAGTTGTTTGAAATACATTGAAGCAGACCTGCCATACCTGTGAGACGCTTGCAGGCCCTGCAGCCTGTGGAGCAGTGTTTTGGAGGAAGAGGATGGGAATTCCCCTCTGGCCACAGAGCTGGACAAAGTGGCTGCCCTTGAGAGCAGCATCGTGAACCAGCTCCCCATTGTTGGCCACTATCCCCACCAAGTGCCTACAGAACAAACATGGACAGTTGGACTCCATGATCTGAGAGGTTTTTTCCAAGCTCAACAATTCCATGATTCTCCCTTTTGAACCCTGGAAGTGTCTAGAGTGGTGTAGAACCTGCTGAGGACACAAAAGCTGTTGGGAAATGTTTGTCTATCCATTTGGATAGGGAATGTTTCCAGCCATACCCTTCCACATGGCCAAATCCTGTCACTAATGTTGTTCCATAAGCAGCCTTGAATTCCTGGAATCTGCTTCCGTCCACCAGCCGGCTCAGAATCTGCAAAGAAATGTACAGACTCTACTTTACTAGAGGAATTAAAGTGAAAATAGGAGAGTTCTGCTAAAAGAAATGCTCTGTTCAAACAGCAGCAGCCCTGAGTTATGCAAGGTGAGCACAGAGGGTCTTGGAGTGACTCGCTAAATGCTCAATATGCACAAACCATCCAATTTGTGTTTAGTTTAATTACCAACTGTGTACTTTAAGACAAAGGCCAACTCCAAAATTATTTTGGATTTACAAAGCACAATTGTTCCTGTGCATAAAAAAGTAAAAAAGCAGAAACCAAACCTCAGCATGTGCAATATCAGATTCTGTGCATAAGAAATGATTGGTTCATATGGCTCATGCTTTTTTCCAACACAGTCAAAAGCTGCCTTCAAAGCTTTCTCCAGTCAATTCCCTTAAGTGCAGGGATTTACCACTGGAAAAGATACTGGATTCACATCCATGGAGACAAAATCTCATGTAGAACACAATGAAAACAGCGTGGGCAGCTCTGCATGTCTCTGCTTAAGCTTTAGTGTCTGTCCCAACCTCAGACAAGTTTGGTTTGAGCTCTGCTGTTTTTCAGTGAGTAATTTCACCATTTCTTTTTCATCATCTTGAATGCATGGGGGGAAGAAACAAAAAGGCAGGGTAACACAGACATGAAAGGAGTGTATGTTCTCAAGGCAGCCAACTCAGTGCAAGACACAAAGAAAGCATCCCAGCAGTGCATGGGAACAGCTGGGCAGCACTGGCACAACCTGGCATTATTTCACCTCCAGCAGCATTTCAGGTTAAATATTTTCTATAATCCTGAAGAACTGTTGCCATCCTGCTCTGTTTAAGAGCTCAGGCTTGCTGGCAACAGATGAGGTACAAATTCAGGATAACACCTGGAGCTGTGGGATCGAGCAGAGTGAAGGATGCAGGAATGAAATCCCTCTTCCCTTACCAGTTTGACAGGAAGAGTGAAGCTGTAATCCAGTGGTGCCAGGCCCAGGAGCTCCTCAGGGCTGTACAAGGGGCTGTCAGGCTCCCTGTCCTCCTCTGGCACTGGGTCACAGTTTAAGGTGGAGACAACATTACGAATGCACTCATAGGCCTCCTCTTCTGAGGCTGCAAAATGGTCACTGCAGCCACTGACTCTAGGAGAGAGAGACACTCATGAGCCTTGAATTAATGAGCTCTGAATTCTGAGGGAAAATCCAAACTCTGTGAAAAAAGATGAGACTCCCCAAATGCCCTGTGGAAATACTGTGTGATTTGGTTCTGTATGAATGAGCTGAAAGCAGTTGCTCAGTGGAATTCCTGTGCAGCCCAATCCCAAATTAAATTCACAGAAAGGAGCTGTTCTTCCCCGTGACTTTTGTGTTTATCTGGATTAAAGAAAGACCTTGGAATTTATTTTTGTGATGCAGTTGTTGCAGTCAATATCGAAAAGGGAAAAGAAGAAAGCAAACTTCAGGAATTATTTCAAAATAAGTGGTTACAGCCAAGATACAAAGACAGGAATGTATTCTATGTAGCACAGTTGGGTTAAATATGTGTGTTCTGGAAAACACTTGGAAAGGAGGAGATAGCATCCCTCTTCTGTACCTGCTTGCTCCCTGTGAGGCTCAGAGAAAATGACTTGCCTGAAGTTGTTCAGGAAGTGTTTGGAACAACAGAGATCCAAATCCAACCTGTCCAGTCCCTGCCTCACTCCATAAATAACTTTAAAATAATTTTACTCCCATTTGGCTGATTTAACCCAAACCCCTGAACCCAAGAAGGCAAACCACAGGTTCCACTCTTAGCCCTGCTCTGAAATGCCAATGCCACAATCCTTTCAAGCTGAGCATGCTGAATTCCCTATTTTTGGGAATACTCCACATACTGTGAGTGAAGCCTGGCTCCTCCAAGGTCCTCAGGAGAGACATCTTCTCCCGTGGCAGCTTTCACCAGGGGTGGCCCAGCAAGGAAGAGTGTCCCAATTTTATCAATGATCACGGATTCCTCAGCCATGGTGGGCACGTAGGCACCTCCAGCCACACAGGAGCCACACACCACAGCCACCTGTGGGGACACAAACACAGCAGCGCTGGAGAGGGGATGGGAAAGGCAAAGCCAAGCCCAAAGTGGTTTCAGAAATGCAGAAAGTGCTAAATCACAGCTTGGGGAACAAGCAGAGACAGAACAAAATTGATTACACATTTACAGCTTCCCTGCACTCCCCGTGCCGCTGTACCTGAGGGATTCCCATGGCAGACATGATTGCCTCGTTGTAGAAAATCCTGCCGCCGTGCAGCTTGTCAGGAAACAGCTCTGACTGAGGGACAGGGCAAAGAAAAAGGGATTTTTAATGTTAACTACAAAAGTTGATGCTTCCTCTTCACTCCATTCATTCCCAAACATACCAAAACTGACACTGGGATGGTCCCCATTAATATCACTCCTGGACCTTTCATATACAGCATTTATTATGGTACTTCTTCCTTTACACATTGTCAAATCAAAAAAATAAAAATACCCATTTGCTTTGAAAGCACAGGTTAAGTTTTGTGATTTTTTTCAGAAATCAATATATTCTACACAAACTGACTGTAATGTGGAGAAGGGAAGGGTGTTAGTTCTACTTCATCTGTCAAATGCCTTCAACAGTTTCCTTTTTTACTTGGTTTTGGATACAATTCCAGGTAAAAACTCTTCCTGTGTGTGAAGAGAGAACAACTGCAGTCTCTATGAGAGGATGATCTCTGCATTTTGCAAAAGAACCTGTTCAAATTCTTATTTTGCAGTCAGAATTGCAAGAGCTCCACTTTTAAAGGCCACAGAGCCTAGTGCATCACTGGCACAAACAGGACAGTAAAATCCAGAGACACTGGAGTGAAAACAGGCTCTTCCCACTATGCACTCATTTATTAGACACAAAAGCACTCACTGGAGTTTCTAACCTCTGATTAGGTGGGAGGTGCAAGATTAGCCCAAGTGATGAAACAAACATTGATAATAATAAATAAAATTAAAAAAAAAATAAAATACTGATATTTTGTGCTCTTCAAGGTGCCAGCAGTACCTGCAGGGGGAGGAAGGCTCCCCCACTGTCCACGAGGTGCACAGACAGCAGTCTGTTCTCCATGGCAATTTCCTGGGCTCTTAATTGTTTTTTCACTCCAATTGGGTAAATTGTTCCTCCTTTCACAGTGGCATCACTTGCAATGAAGACACACCAGACCCCACAGATCCTGCCAATTCCTGCAAGCAGAACCAAAGGTATTTATCAGGACTCTCTAAAGCAACAGGCAAAGCAAGAGGGGAAAACTTTTTCAGGTGTTTTTTTCAGTAATGCTACATCAAGAAGCTCCAAATTAACTTGAAAATACCACACAGGGAAGAAATCTAGACTCTTCTCTGGAATCATAGTATTTTATAATTAATCTAAATTACAGAAGAACCTCAAATAAATTTACTTACTTCTGGTGACAGTATAACAGAAAAAAAATACACTGTGACGCCTAACCCTTGAGATAAAGAGGAAGGCAATTAAAGATTACCCCTATAAAACTGAAAAATATGACAATCTGTGATGAATAAAAGGGGTTTCATACTGTTCTTCTAGTTACTTCTTGAACTGGAACCACTCTTCAGAACACAATTTCACTGATATTGAATGAAATTGAATTTCATTGAATTTCAATGCAATTTCATTTTGAAGAGCTGTTCCAGTTAAAAGAGACAATGTTTGCATAGAAAATGTAAGTGTCTGTGATTTGAAAAACACATCAAAATGTATGTCACAGCTCCTGCTTCTCACAGTAACTGTGTCCCCTCTCCTTTAAGAGGCTGATTTGACACATCACCCTACATTTTTTGAGACAAAAATTAGTAAGTGCTAAGCAGAATTACTGAATCTAGAAGAAATTAAAAACAATTTTTTCAAAGATTTCTCCCAGATTTCCCATTATAGTAACACACCAGTGACTGAACTCTTTCCTTTTGGGAATAACAACTGGATAAAACCTGCATTCACTTTTCCTAGGAAAGCGCTTCAGATATTGAAATATCCCATAAAGTTCATTCCATGAGTCCCTTTTCCTGCCGTTTCCCTTTCCCAGTGCCCCCAACATCCCATTACCCGTGAGGCAGGCGGCAGCAGGGACATCCCCGTAGGGCATGTCCAGCCCTGCCAGCGGGGACAGCTCCAGGAAATCCTCATGGTCCAGGAGCAGCCTCAGGCGCTCCCGCACGAACAGCTTCTTGTTGCGCTGCGTGTGCCGCAGGATGGCCTTTTCTCCTCCTCCTTTCTTCACCCTCTCCAGCAATTCCGAATACCTGATGGGAAAAAAAAACCCAAAGTTTCGGTCTATGGGAACAAAGCCATGAGTGAGGTCACGCTGGAGGGGAGGGGTGGATTCCAGAGGGACACGGACAGGAGGAGAGGTGGGGCTGGAGGAAGCTCAGGAGTTCAACACGGCCAAGTGCAGGGCCTGGCCCTGGGCCGGGAAAATCTGTGGGAGAAGGGATGGAGAGGAGCCCTGGGAGGATTTGGATGAGAAGCTCATCCTGCCATGTCCAGAGGAGCCCCTGGAGCTGCTCCAGGGCTGGAGCCCCTCTGGAGCCAGGCTGGGAGAGCTGGGGGGCTCACCTGGAGAGGAGAAGCTCCAGGGAGAGCTCAGAGCCCCTTGCAGGGCCTGAAGGGGCTCCAGGAGAGCTGGAGAGGGACTGGGGACAAGGCCTGCAGGGACAGGACACAGGGAATGGCTGCCAGTGCCAGAGGGCAGGGCTGGATGGGATCTTGGGATTGCAGGAATTGTTCCCTGGCAGGGTGGGCAGGCCCTGGGATAGAATTCCCAGAGCAGCTGGGGCTGTCCCTGGATCCCTGGCAGTGCCCAAGGCCAGGCTGGATGGGTTTGGAGCAGCCTGGGACAGTGGCAGCTGTCCCTGCCATGGCTGGGCTGGGATGAGATGGGATTTAAGGACCATCTCCACCCAAACCATTTTCCTTACAAGTTACCTTTTTAGCAGATTGAGCTTAAATATATTGCACAGTTTTTACACAAATGGCATGAGAAAATGAAGATAAATTCACATTTCCAATTATTGTTTTTGCAAGGTGTAATAAAAAGCAAAGGTATATTATTTAAAGCAAACATTTCACTTTTGTTATCCAAAAGCTGTTTAATAAAGCCAATAATATAATCTATAATAATGAAGCTATCATAATGTGCCTGTCCTAATTCAGCATGAACCTCCATGTTCCATCTACTCTTGGGAATAATCCAGCCAAGAGCTTCCTCTGTCAGCTCCTGCAGCAACTTTATCTCACAAAAATCATTAACTGGGAAGTGGAACAAATTACTAAATTGGGAAGATATACTAAAAGCAGGGTACACTGCAGTGTCACAAGAAGGAAATGATTACCCAATGTTATTGTCAGGGCAGCACAGCATAAGTAAAAATCTGAATAAACTGTAAACAAATGTGGTATCTCAACTTTGGTCTTAAATAAACCAAATTATTCCTTTACTTCAAACACATTTTCCCCCCAGAAGCATCGCCTTTAGCTGTAAGTGTTGTTTGACAAAAAGACTTGCACAGCACTTTGTGTGTGACTCTGTGACCTGACTCCCTGCACGCCATGGAGGCTGGAAAAACTTTGGAAGAAAAGGATTTTAATCATATCCTCAATGCCACCACAGGAGGGCAGAGTGTGTTTTCCAAAGCTTTGCTTCCAGCTCCTGGATCACTCCCCTGAACAAAGGCCTTTGCCATTTTGCCATCTGATCTTTCAAGACAAGCACAAAAAACACATTTTGTTGTTTTATCCATAAATCATGACGGATTGATTGCAGCACCCATCCCCTACTCGGTCAGGAGTGGGTGAGTCACCATTTACGTCTTTGCATTCAAAATGCAACACAAAGCAAACGTTACGAAGGTCTGTAAAAAGTATTTCTTGGCAATATATGCAAAACAACACATGGAACAGTTTTGAATAGTTTGCACCTCGATTTGGGTATTTCAGTCACCATTTCACGGACTGGTTTGTGCTGGAAGGGACTTCAAAGCTCATCCCTGCCACAGGCAGGGACACCAGGCTCCAAGCCCCATCCATCCTGGCCTTGGACACTTCCAGGGATTGAGCAGCTGTTCCACGGGACAAATATGTTAAAAGTGCCTAAAGTACCAACAAGTGACTCTCACACCACCTTACAGACAGCAACGCTTTAAAAACCCCACAAAACCCATTTATTACCTTTGAATCACAGCCTCGCTGTTCCTTAAATTCTCTTCAAACACGTGTCGGTACACAGCGGGGACACGTCCGTCTAGAACCGGGAATGTTTTGGGATTCCGCCTGTATTTGGGGTTATTACTTACAAAGCATCGGGGAGACAGGTGCTGTGTCCTTCCCCAGCCCTGCCCCGGCAGTGCCCGATATTCCCTCTGGAGCAGACGGGTCAGAGATTTCTGCCGATATTCCCTCTGGAGCAGGTGGATCGCGGGTCGTTCCCGATATTCCCTCTGGAATTTCTCCCGATATTCCCTCTGGAGCAGGCGGGTTAGGGGCTGCAGCGGCGCGGAGGGGCCGGGGCACCGCCGGCCCAGGGCGCACAGCGGGGCCGGGCTCCACATCGCCCCGAGAGCTGAGGGACAACGAGTGACAGGAATTACAGAGAGGATTCCTTCGGCTGAGCGGCAGCGCGGCCCCTTCGCCTGGGGTGCGGGTCATGAGGGGACACCCTGACTCCATTCTGCCGTGAGGGGACACCCCTGTTCCCGCCCGGGTCATGAGGGGACACCCTGACTCCAGTCCTGCATCGGGGGTGGTGAGGGGACAATCCCGACTCCCGTCCTCCCGCAGGGGTCGTGAGGGGACACCACTGGTTCCCGCTTTGATACGGGGGTCGTGAGGAGCCACTTTGACTCCAGTGGTTGTGAGGGGACAGCCCTGTACCCCCGGAGGTCATGAGGGGACAGCCCTGTTCCCGCGGGGGCCATGAGGGGACATCCCTGTTCCAAGGGGGACATGAGGGGACAGCCCTGTTCCCGCGGAGGTGAT